ACAGGAGGAGCGTGCTGATCACTCACCTGTGGAGCAGATTGTGAATTTGAACTGTGTTCCTTTGGGTTGGCAGTGCACTGCAGCTACTTACCACTAGGCCACCAGAGCAGGATATAAGATATAGAAATGACCAGAGTTGATCACTTAAGAAGTCAGTGATGACTATTCTTGGGAAGATCTGACTGGAGCATCATTATCTGATAGAGTTGCTCTCAAAATTATTTTCCATGTACAAGAAAGATGACACTTAATACTTATTTGCTGAATGATTAAATATTTATCAAGTACTGCTATATACAGGCAGAAGGGTCAGAAGTTCCTTTTTAATTTTGCCAGCATTGCCTAGGTCCTCACATTAAAAAATCCATTTTGCTGATTTTGGCATCCACCAATTTACTGGTTAATCTTCATGTACAGTCTTCTCGAGAGAATTTTCAAATACTGCATAGTGACGAAGACCAGTCTGTATTCCAATGAATATTTGAAAGAATATAGGAAGTGCCATTACTTTCAACTCTCTGTGACAAAGCAGCATCCAATGCTGTATAACCCTTCCTTTTGAAGGCAGTGGAACAGTATGATACCTAAATAAGAAAATGAGCTTATCATTTTTTCTGGATATAAATTCTACAAAAAGTTCACAGATTTTCGATTTTCCCCAGAGTGATCATTAAGTGCTAGTTTACATATATAAAGCACATAGAGTAAAAAAGTCAAAAGATAGCTATTTGAAATATTAAACTATTATATTTTAGTTAACATGTCAGATTGCTAAAGAATAAGGAGAATATATTAACCCAAAAAAAGGAAAGAAGGAGGGAAGTGAAGGAAAAGAGAAATGAAGGCAGATAAAGAGAGGAAGTGAGAGGGAGGGTGAAAGGGAGAAAGGAAAGGAAAGAGAAAGAAGGACAGAGGGCAGAGGAGAGCGAGAAAGCAGGAATGGACAGACTTACTTGACTGCCAGACGCCCATTTTTAGAAAAAGCCAAACCAGTGGGATATAAGGCACCACATAACAGGCCAACTAGTGAACTTCTAACGACACAACTCTCCTTGCTTATATTACCTGGAAAACAAAAATAATTTTGTCTATCTTTTAAAACTCAGAATAAAAATGATGATATAGTAGACTAGGCCTTCTAGGCTTGATCCCAGTTTGTCTCTTATGAACTTTATGGTTTGGGGCTTTATTCACTGGTGATCCACCTTGAGTTGATTTTTATGTATGGTGTGAGATGTGGATTCCTGTTTCAGCTTTCTGCAGTTAGCAGTCCAGTTTTGCTAGCATATGAAGAAAAGCTCAAAATCACTGGCAATAAGAGAGATGCAAATCAAAACCACAATGAGATACCATCTTATCCCAAAAACAGTGGCAAAGTTTAGGAGGGCAGCAAGTAACAAATGTTGGAGAAGATATGATGAGATAGTAACTATTATACTTTGTAGGTGGGATTGTAATATGGTACAAACACTCTGGAAGGCAGTTTGGTGTTTCCTCAAAAAGCTGAACAAAGAAATTCCATATGCTTGGAATATACCCTGAGAAAAGAAGCACTGAAGTACAAATAGTGACCTGTACACCAGTGTTCATAGCAGCATTATTCACCATAACAAGAACATAGAAACAGACCAAATGCCCAACCACAATGGAATAGACTGAAAAATTACGGTACAGTCACACAATGGAACACTATGCAGCACGCAGGAGCAATGATTTTGCAAATTACTACCTAACATGGAATTGGAGAGCATTACGCTGAGTGAACTAACTTAGTCTCATAAAGATAAATACTGCATAAGACCATTATTGTAGAACAAGTACAAGGATCCAAGGATGGGTAGGGAGGTGCTTAATCATAGGGTTGTACAAATTGATGGTGGGTGGGTAAAGGAAAGGGGAAAGATAACTTTGTAAGTAAAACAGTATAAAATAAAATTTAAAAAAAAATCAAGTTAAAGGAACAAAGTGAAAAAAATTATAATGATAATCTTGTGCCACATATAGTAGTTATCTACACTGTCCCTAATCCCTATGAAATACCAAAGGAAATAATACTGAAATTGTCAGGGCAAAGGTACATAACAGACTAAAAGTATCAAGTTTTAATATGCTTTTATAAGACTCTACTCTAAAGAGAACCACCTCTTACATATTTGGTTGTTGCAAAAGCAATTTGAGAATAGGGCGCAAATACACTGAAGGTAATTAAAACATACAGGGATTATATTTAGAAACCTCATCTGTACTCTTGAGGAAATCAGAAAGATTTCCATGAGGAATAGATATTTGATTAGGGACCTTTAGAAGGAACAAGGATTAGAGTCTCTCTCAATTACTAGTAATGAAACACAAGTAAAAGGAATACGAAATAGATGCCAATAATACGCTTGATATTGTCAGGAATTTTAATGTACCAAAATAAGAAACAAGCCGACCGCCATCAAGTTGACTTTGACTTGCAGCAGCTCTCCGTTGGCTTGCTGAGGCTGAAATCTTTACAGGAAGTAACTGGCCACCTTTCTCCAAGAAGCAGCTGGTGGATTTGAACCACTAATCTTCTGCTTAGCAGAGCAACACATAATACACTAAATCAACAGAGTATTTAGTGCACTCAAACTCATTGCTAGTGAGTTGGAATCAATTCAGCACTGACCCTCCTGTGGGTTTTCTGAATCTATGAATTGCACGGACAGTACCCATCTCTCCTACTGAGATGCTGGTGGAGATGCCTACGGAGGGGCTGCCTCTGGGTTAGCAGTGAATCTCTCTACGGTCTAAGCTTAATTCTCAATACCACAAGGAAGTGTTATTTGTGCTACTTTATAGATAGGACAATTAAGGCTCAAAGACAAAACTGACTTGCTTAGATCACAAAATTTAAATGGTGAGAAACAGGCTCAGACACCAAACATGCAGGATACAAAAGGCTGCTTTTCTCCCAGTTTATTATGTTGCTTCTTAGTGTACTGGAACATGCTTAACTGTAACACACTAAAAATGTACAATTGTACTTGTCTTGCCTCCTCAGGAAGGTTATTATGAGGATCAAAGAAGATAATATATGTGAAGGCACTTTATAAATGGTAAAGCCATTATTATCAACATTGCTGTTGCTGTTACATGGTGCTGAGTTGAATCCTCCATAGCTGACCCTCCAGTGGAATTTTGGAGGCTGTTAGTCAAACAAAAGATTGCCTATCTTTCTCCTGCACAGCAGCTAGTAGATTTGAAATGCTTACTTTTGGGTTTACTTTGGTAACTTGTTATCACTTAGCTACTAAAGCTCCCTTATTATCAGTATGAAGAATAGGATATACAATGAAACTTGTGAGAGTCAGAACCTGTGTAAGGCGCAAACCTGTTAGGGAAGGAAAACTATTTTCTAAATATGTTTAGTAATGCTATGCGTGATTTTTTTTCTGGAAGGAGGTAACTTTGCTTGTAGTGGATATTCTTTACAAGAATAAGCAGTTACATGCATATTTCAAAAGTATTTTCCAGTTAAAAAACCCTCCAAAACCAAAATACATGTGTTTTGTTTGCTATTTTAATTGTGGTTGTAGACTTTGATGTTAACACATTTTGCAAAATTCTATCACACAGTTGTATTGAATCAGGAAGCTATCAAATAATGTGTTACTTTTATATACATAAACATAACATAGCTGAGCCTCCAGTGGGTTTTCTGAGGCCATAAATCGCATGGGAGGAGACTGCCATTTTTTCTCCAAAGCAGCAGAATGTGGGTTAGAACCACTTGCCTTTTGGCTGGCAGTGCAACTCCTTACCACAATACCACTAAATCACCAGATAGTGTTAATCAATGGGTTTATGTCTCGTGATTTACAGAAATTTGTAGTCAGTTGCATCTTTTAACACCTGATATGCACATCCCATGTCACAGAAAGGGCAATAATAAAACAATCCTAAAGCAAGAAAAAAATAATATTTCTCATTAACCATTGTTACTGTGTACTGTCGAGTCAGAACTGACTCATAGCTGACCCTCCAGTGGGTCTGCAGAGGCAGCAGTAAATCACATGGAAGGAGACTGCCCATGTTTCTCCCGTGGATGGGAGGAGACTGCCCATGTTTCTCCCGTGGAACAGCTAGTTGATTAGTAACATGTGCCTCAGGGATGGCAATGCCACTCCTTACGAGTAGGCCACCAGAGATCCCTTGTGCACTAAGAGGATAAATAAGTGGTGAGACTTACTCTGTTAAAGGCAAAAAAATTGTGAGATCTCAAAAATCAAGCAGTTACATCAAGTTCCAGCTCCCACAGGTCTCACAAGTAACTTTAGATAGCGTTCACTATTCATTATTAAGCATTTACTTTCACTTGCTCACTGCCTTTTGAGTCAATTCTGAGTCACAGTGATTCTCCATTGGTTTCCGAGGCTGTAAATCAAAATGGGACGAGCCTGCCTATCTTTCTCTCAGAGCCACTGATGGATGTGAACCACCAAAGACTTGAGATCTTCAGGTTAGGAGTGTAACTTACTATAAACTATGCCACCAAACTCCCTACAGTAAGCATCAATGAATTTAAATTTACCTGAATATAAAGCATCAGTTACAAACAGTTTGTATGTAACTATAGTGGATAAGAACGGAAGCGTAGTTAATGATGCATATGTCTTCAACGCCTCATGGTTAACTCTGAAGCAGTATCTGAAAAGAAAGTTTGCCAGTATTCCAGAGAGGCCAGCAGTTGTTCCAAAGAATAAGGTCTTGCTAGGAAAAATGACAAAAAAGGAAATCTTAATAATAATATTCTAATAGATGGATCTTTTTTCATCACCATTTTTTACTATGTATTTACTCAATATCAAATATTTCTTGAGCACTATGTGAATGCTATTTGTGTAGTGCTGAGAATAGGGCAGTGAGAATTAAATAAAAATTCCTGTGTAACCTCTATCCATTTTCAGTGGTGGTCTGAGTTTGGCTAAGATGCTGAAGGCTTTCATCAAATTCCAGATGGAGATGTATGAGGAAGAAAGGCCTGATGATCTACTTTTGAAAACCAGCCAATGAAAACCCTACAGATCACAGTGATCTGATCCACAAAAGCTTATGAGGATGGCTTAGGACTGGGCAGCCTTTCATTCAGCTGTGCACAAAGTCACCACGGGGCAGGAGCTGACTCCACAGCAGCTAATAAATTCTGTTGTTTGCTACCATAGTCAAATTTGACTGCTGGTGACCTCATGTGTGCTGCTTCAAAGGGTTTTCTTGGCTAGAACCTTGATAGAAACAGGGTGATTGGCCTTTTTTCCACGGCCCTGCTGGACAGACCTGAATATAAACTTTTAGGTTAATAGTCAAGCACAAACTATTTGTATCACCCAGGGGCCTAAATAAGTTCAAAGGTCACAAAATATTATCATGCACTTAAACCCAAGAATACAGCTCCTCTCACTAGTTAATTTAAGAGCATTTGAAATAAGCTGGGGGAAAAAAACTATTTACATCTGGTTAGCCTCCTCCTAGAAAATAACTATTTTTTAATGAGTTCAGATATACTGAAAAAAAAAAAAAATAGTGGAACAAGATCTCTAAAACTTCAATCAACAAGATCTGATAGACCTAGTATGACTTATTCTGACTCCTACATAAATCCAGAACTTCTAAAGTCTAAGATTAACTGTTATTTAATATTATTCTAGAGCTTTATAATCTAAATGTTGAAACAGCATGCGTGTCTACATGTTTATCATGGAATCCATTTTTTGCTGTACTCAATACTGAAGCTGATGTAACCAATAATCAGTTGATTCTAATGAATCATTTATTATTATCAATTAAATATAAACAGCAGTACCCTCCAAATGGTTTTCTCCTAATTTAAAAAATATGTATGGTTTAGTAATTTGGGTTTGTGTGTGTGTATAATTTTTTTAAGAAGCAAAAAAGAAAATATCCATAAGTCCAAAATTTTAACTAGCATTGTATTCATTAGTCACATCTGTCCCCAGTTTGTCATCTTTTTTAATACGTAATCTCTTCAGTCAATTTAGTGAAGTTAGTGGGATTTTAGATACTCAGAAATAACAAATAAGCAATACAAAAGATGAGTAAAGTTATTAATATTCAGACTGTGTGTAACTTACTTCTCTTTTCTAAGATCATCAATTTTTTTTTCTATAAGTTCAATGACTGCTGATCTTCTGAATTTTCCATCTTCTAAAAAAGAACTGGGTTGGCCATCAGCATGTGTTGTCATTTTGATGTCCTGGAAAACACAAAATTCAGTGCTTACAACAGCAGATGATATTAGTATTAGCCCATACCTTACACATTTTACAGATTCAAATTAAAAAAACCCCTCAAAATCCCTAGCAATGTTGACAGGTACTATGCCACATGCTTTCACATACTTACCATGTTTATGATTCAAATGACATTTACTGAGCTCTAATTCTGTTAGATAATAGCTTTTATATAATAGCCTTAAGAAACTGATACGATAATGATCCTTTTTACTTTTACAGAAGGAAAACTGAGGTTCAGAAAGTTTGGCCTGCAGTTTAGCCAGTGAGATAAAAATCTGTGGTCTTAACAAATTTATACCAATCTCCCTTTTAACAAAAATAAGGGCATATACTTTATGTCAAAGTTAAGAGTTCTGGGCAAGGGGATTAGAGTGTATGAAACACAATGAGGGAACACAAATGGTTCAAGTTTGGTGACTCAAACTCACCCAGTGACACCTCAGAAGGTCAAGTCATCTGGTTCTGAAAGGTTACAGTCATGAGAGGGCATTTTCACTCTGTGACAACAGACATTTCCTTGTCTGGACCCTCTATCCTTCAAAAAACTTCATTTGCTTTTATATAAATAAGACTATGATGTTGCTCTGCAATAATCCTAAAATATTGAAACAGGACTTTAAATATGTATTGAGCTTCTAGGGTTTTTTAAAATAAGACAGTGTCAATATAAAGAACTGTTTTCATTTTATCCCACTTAGTAAAGCAGAGAAGCTGACTGGTAATTTTCAGAAACTTTTATAGCTATTAAAGTGGAAAGACTTTGCTATAACCAATACTTTGTCTAAAAATGAAGTAGTCCAAGTCATTCAACTGGCTACCACAGCTATACAAATAAGGGTATATATATGATTTGGAATGATTTATAGCTACTGGAATAGCAGGTGATACTTATTATGGGTTTTGTGGTGTTTTTGTGTATTTTTTCATCTGACTTTCAGAATTTTATTTAACAATCATTAGTTACTGGATGCCAGCAGTCAGGCACTTAGGTGCTAGTTTGCATATGGAAAGTCTGTGGTCAGGGATCTCTCCAAATTACTGAGACTCAATGATATCACTTTAAGGACTAAGGTGTGTCTGATTCAGGCCATGGTCTTTTCAGTCACTTGCTATGCACCTAAGAGCTAGACAGTGAGTAAGGATGACCTAAGAATGGATGCCTTTGAACTTTGGTGTCAGAGAACTGTACATCCCATGGACTGCCAAAAGTACAGATATATTGTGGGAAATATGCAGCCAGAGTGCTCCTTGGAAGTAAGGATGGTGAAGCTATGTCTCACATACTTTGATAAAGTTGCTAGGAGAGGCTACTCCTTGGAGAGGGACATCATGCTTGGAAAGGGGAAGGGAAGTGGAGAGAAAGACCCTCTACCAGGTGGATTGGCACAGTGCTGCAATGGGCATGCAAGTGTCAGAGGTTGTGTGAATGGCATAGGATAGGGCGGGGTCCAAATATGTTTTTCATAGGGTTGTAAGGAGTCAAACTCCACTCCAATGGCACCTAACAACATCTAATAGGTATCTGGATAATCAGGTAAAATGTCAAGTCCTCACATGTCCACAGCTCAATAATAAGTCAGGGGCAAAAAAAGCAGGCAAAATGAAGATTCTATTAAATAAATGTTTTAAAAACGTGTACTCTACCTAGCCAGGGACTGTGGGTAACCTTCCCGTAGGAAATGTCACTTAGTGAGAAACTCAGAATGGTGAGGAAGGTAGAGAGAAAGGGCAAGGCCATATTCTTTTAACTGTGCAAATGGAAAGAGAAAACTGCAGACAATCAGAATCTGACTAAAGGTATTGTTAGGTTAGGCTAGGTTAGTGGACTTAAAGAAGAAATCAGGGAGAACGAGTGAAAGCTTAATGCAGCTTTATTAAAGGGGGGGGGAGGGAGCTCCGGGGTGAGTTCCTCATCCTGGAGAGGCAGAATGGGAAGTCACACTGTGAACTTTCTGGGCAGGATGTTTATAAACAGAGTCTTTAGGGAGGGGCATTCTATTCTGATTTACGAGCCACCTGTTAGCTTAGCCAGACAGGCCTTCTTATCTGAAGCAGGCAAGGCCATCAGCACTTGAATTCTGAATTCTTCATTCTTCTCTTTGGCCCTCTTTGCCCAGACTAACAGGTATTCCCACCTAAGAGCTTCCTAAGCAATTTGGAAGAAAGGCCTGGCTATCTCCTTCTAAAAAAAAAAAAAAATTGCCATTGAAATTCCTATGACGCGGTTTTATGCTGATACACATGGTTTTGTGTAGAACCAACTCTACAGAAACTGGTGTTACTAGTACACTTGACTCTTTCTAGTAGGAATTGGGGGGGGCATACTCGGTTCCTGAGTGAATCTGCAGCCTGTTTGCCTTCCCCCCACCCCCTCCAAATCCTGTTTATGTTCATCACTTGACCACTGAGTCCTCAAAGTCATAGCCCATACTATGCGGATTTCCGCCTACCTTGGGCCCCTCCCTAGCTCCCACCGGCACCACACTTACGTTCCTCCATTCTGCTCCAGCTCCTCTCCCGAGCGCCGCCATTTTTTGCGGCTCACGTGACCTCCTGGATCAGAGCCCAGACAGCCCCGGGCGGGAAGTGGTGCTCACGCCTTCCGCGCAGAGCCCGGGCCGGGCCCGCCTCCACCCAGTCAAAAGCCGCGCCCTCCATCCTGGCTGTGATTGGTCACGGCGTCTGGAAATTAAGGCCATTGATTGGCTTCGAGAAGGGGTATACTAGCGGACCCGCCCCTCCGCTAGCCCTGCATTTGGCTCCCCAGCCATTTGACAGTCCGGCGTTTTGTCATCTCCCATCCAAAGGGGAAAATGGGGCTGTCTGAGCCTGTGCTTGTTGGTGTGCGCCTTCCTCACCTCAGGGCAGCTTCATTAGCTGGGGTCGAGCTACTTGCCCCTTTCAGTCTTTCAGGGGATTCGTCTTCTCTGGCCTGCGTGTTGTGTTAAATGCTTCAGCTTGCTCAGACGCCTCCTTTTTAGAAGTCCCACCAGCCACCCGGGGCCGCCAGCGTACCCCCGACTAAGCCTCCTCCTCTCGTAGCCGTTTGACTCCTTCTATTCTTAGTCCACTCACATTCCATCCTCTCTCCCCGCTTGGAAGGAGACTGGAGAGAAATTTTAACCCCCGCCCCCTGCTCCAGAAGACCCCCGTGTCAGCCAATGTCTCGAGGTGGGGGCCGCTGAGTGGAGCCCCGGCAATATCTCCCAGACCAGCAACCCCCGACCCCTGCAGACTCCATGTCTTAGAGAAGCCAAATTCGAGAGTTATATAATTTCTAGTGCTGCTGTTTCTCCCGCCTGAGGCAACACTTCAACGCGTGGAGGGTGCAGGACATTTCAGAGCTCTTATGTATAATAACGGGGTGTGGGCAGGGGTGGCAGCGGTGGCAGAGATTTCTTGTCTTCTCCCCCCCGCCCCAAAATAAAGGTGGGTAGTTTGGAGAGAGACTGAGAGAAAGAGTGGATGTGGAAGCCAAAGGCTGAACTCATTTAGGAAATCGAGGAGTGTTTGCATAGCTAATACTTACATGCCTAATACTACTACAGCGTTTCTGAAAACACCTTTGGGGGGAAGGTTTGGCTTCTCCTTAAGAACAGTCTGCGTTTTTCTTTGCCGGATAGGTAGCTGCTTGAATGTGAAGAGATGGCATGATGTGAATGACTCCAGTGTGAAGAAATCTGCTTCGCCAACTCATCCTGCATCAAGTGCCCATTGAGTAGCACTGTCACTTTAATGTCTCTATGCCAAAGGATTGCTTTTCCTTCTTTTCAATCCTCTCGGTTAATAGATGGGAAGATCAGAACCAGAGGGGCATTAAAGAACAAGCCTAGTGGGCTTGCAGAACACAGAAGAAAAATTAACAAAATGACAGCACGCTGGATTCTGCCTGACTGAGGGGGTGAGATCTGGCACTTCTGGTGCAGTAAATAGAAAGAGGTCTTCCATCAGTGTTCAGACGCATAGAACTCTTGAAACTCACCAGCGTCAAAGAGGGTTATCTAAAGTTTATTTTTAATTAATTTTTTTGAAAAGGGGTGGGTGAGATCAAATGTCTCTAAAGAATTGAGGATTCTCTTTATCATGGACTAAGTTATTTGAACTTGATTATGTATAGAATGAAACATCTGTCTAAATTTGGTTTGTGCCTTAATTGAACTTAGTCACTGAGCTCCCAAAATGTTATTGCCTGAAGAGGAATTTTAATAACGTTTTCTAAGTCTACAATACTTTAAACCGTTTTTAAAAATAAAAAGTATTTTATGAAAACGGAGAAACTTGAACAACAAAGTTATTTTTCTCTGAACTCTGTGGGCGATGTCAAAAGTTTAATTGTGGGAAAGTACATCATTATTTTCTTTATATGAAATAGAAGACTCAGCCTGGATTTCAAAGCTGAACAGTGAAGTGGTTTGCAACAGTTACCTGGCTCTTGGCCTAAATCCAGCTGGATCAAGCTGAGAACTGAAAAGATACCTTGAATCCTGTGGCTGTGGAAAGACCCAAGAATGCCAGTCAAGAAGAAAGGTGGGCAATGAGGCTTCTTATATGATAATTGTTTCTCTCTTTTTTGATGCTTGTATTTGTGATTTAAATTGTATTCCATTTGAACGTGTATATATATCTGTATATTCAGGAGTACCTAATTTAGTAGTATTATTTTGCGAAGGTAAATTTAAATAGGACCGTAATATTTTAATTTGGAGTCAGTCCAATGGCAACTAACAGTAATGTAGTATTTAATTGTAGACATTTGTGATTTCTTAAGTTACCTACATCTACTTTTATAGTAAGAATATATTCAGTTTTACCAATTTGAGATGTTCTGTAGCTTGTTTGCTTATTTGTTTGCTTGTTTTGGAAAGGTTACATTGAAATAGTCTGAAAAAGCAAAACAAGAAAACCTGTACAAACTTTTTGTCCATGGATTTAATATTTTTCAGGATAGTATATAGTTTGTAAAGAGTGACAGAGAAATTTTATTTGAACTGAACAAACTTAAGATTTAGAATTTATCTTTTGATTTAAAAATTTAATATGAATTTCATATTTTCCTTTAGTTCATATCTTTACTTTTGTAATAAAACATAACTTTGGTAACTGTTGTCTTTTTCTAGATATATAAATTATGTAATAACACAGTTGGAAATTTCTCCAAAACAGGCAAATAGCTTCCCTGCAACTTTTATAACATAGAACTAATTGATTTAGATCTAGTATTTTCCTGAAGAATGGTGTGTTATAGATTGAATGTTGGAGATTTCCGTTAGCCTATCTGTATGTATCTTTAGCTATCTTTCTCCAAAGTGATACTACTTTAAAAAAAAAAAAATTTAAACGAGATGGATGATGAGATCAATTCTAAGAAATTTTCTTAAAAGTTGTGAATGAAAATCTATTTGAACATGCCGGACTAGTTTAGATCTAAATTTGGCTGGTCATTGGAGTTGCTTCAATCTGGAACTAGAGTTCTGGGTGAACTGTGAAGTTCTGGGTGAACTGTAAATCAAGGTTCTGCAACTTGTGTTTAATCTTTCTACATATGATTTTGGAAGATGCACTGAGGAAATAATAATCAGTGATGTTGTCCTAGAGATTGTTAAACCAGGCTGCTCCTTGGAGGCAGGATTCTGAAGCTTCATCTGAAATATTTTGGACATGTTGCAAGGAGGGATCAGTCCTTAGAGAGGGATGTCATGCTTGAGAAGGTGGAGGGACAGTGTAGGAGAGGAAGACCCTCGATGAGATGGATTGATTCAGTGACTGGAGAATGGGGGTGGGTCTGTCAGAGACAATAAAATTGGCACTTGATAAAGCAGAGTTCAGGGCTGTTGTACATAGGGTCACTATGAGTCACAGGTGACTCGATGGCACATAACAACAACAACAACAACAACAACAACAATCTGTTTCTATAGTAATGGAAAATTATATGTAAAAGATTGGCAATACCTAGAACTGTCTCTTTGGAACCAGTCTAAAATTTATGATTAGTATTGTTCCAGCCACCCCCAAATCCACCCTTATGTCTCCCTTTCTGATGTTATCATTGAGAGAAGTAGCTGTTCTGGGAGATGCTGGAGCCACTTTTGTATAGACTTGACATCGGTGGTTTAGCCAACAAACAGTATGGTTCTTTGAGTCGTTTTGTTTGGGCCACCATATTTTGACCTAATAATGGAATCAATTAAATTGTGTACCTATGTATGTGTTTGACAGAGATAGAAAGAGGAAGAGAAAGAGAAAGGAGGAGGAGAGGAAAGGTTGAGAAGAGAGGAGAGACAGCTTATCAAATAATTGCCTTTCCTCTTATTTGATAAGCTAGGTATACCTTACTAACAGAAGTGAGCAGTGAGTGTAAGGGTTCGAAACCCAATAAACTAAGTTTCTTAAAGGTTTCTATCTTTATAGGAGCTGTTATAAAATCTTTAAGTTAAGGATAATGATAGTGTTTTACGAGAAATAGTTTTGTTTGTTCCCTCCTCCTCTTGCTCCCTACTTACTCTTTTTGCTCTTTCCCCATTTCTCCCCCTTTCCTTTATCCTTTTTTTGCTTCTTTAACAATGAATTGTTTGTAATGGATCAAGTTTGGGGTTTTTTTGGCCAATCTAGTTCTATTTAGAAAAATAATTGCTTATTTTTATTATATGAAGAATGTATTATGTAATTAATTTTCTGAACTAATCTAGCTTAATAAGAGGCATTTTACCTTATATTTAATGTCTTAAAATGAAGACATATTTTAGAATATTATCTATAACTAGAACAAACAGATACATCTTGGAGAAAGTGCAGTCAGAATGCTCAGTGAAGGCAAAGGGGACAGAGCTTTGTCTCACACACTTTGGACATGTTAGGAGAGGTTATTCTTTGGAGAGGGATGATCATAATTGGAAAGGTAGAGGGTCAGCGAAAGAGAGGAAGACCCTCAGTGAGATGAATTGATACAGTCACTGCAGCAATGGGCTTAAGTATGTGAGAGATGATGAGGATGGCACGGGAAAGGACAGGGTTCAGATCTGTTGTTGGTTCATAGGGTTGCTATGAATTGTACTAAACTCAACAGCACCTAACAACAAACAACAAACCAAACCAGTTAATATAGGTACATTATAATTCTTAATTGGCTAAGCTTAAGTCCTTTTCCAGGTGATTTCTGACTGCTCCTAATTAAATGGAAACTGCTGTGTCTCAAGCGTCAAGCTTCTGTATTTTTTTGTTCTTTTCCGTAATGACACCACGTTCTACTTCCCTCACTCTAGTCTTTTCACATTTTTTACAATCTTGTCCCTTCACATTTTTACAGATCTTGGTTTTATTAATGTGAGACTCTTCTTGTGTCCATTTTAGGGATCACTCCCCTAAACAGTTACAGATTTTCTTTACTATAGTAGTAACTTGATTTGTTTCAGCTGCGCCTTTGGGCTAGCTTGGCCCTATTTTCTTCTGTTCTGTCAGGATCCATTCATTGTGGCCCTGATGAGAACCTTCAATAGTGGTAGCCAGACAGAGCACTTTGTTTTTCTGGTCT